TTGATTGAAGATCCTTTGAGCTTGATTGTTTGATTTTAAACTTGGTTGTTAGAAAATATTTTGAGAGAGTTTGATAGAGTTTTGAGTTTCATTATAAATGAAGAAGGAGATGGGTTCTGGTGCAATTTAATCTTTAATACCTTTCGGAGATGCATCTTCGAAATAAGTTTGAAGATGCATCTCTAGAATATTTTAAGATTAAGTCAGAATTCTATGACCTCATAATGTGTTAGGAGATGCATCTCCAGAATCTAGGGGCATTTCAGTATTTTTCTCGTGGTGCCTATGTAATATATATGGTGTATTAAGAAATTCCCTATATTTTTTCCCACCTTTATAGATAAATTTCCAATTGCTAGAAACTTTTGACGTCTTCCCCATTAGAAATAAGTACAGAATGTCAAATGGGTTCTCAACTTTTTGGATGGAGTTTAATTCTTCCTAAACATTGTTATTTATTTGGTCAATATTAACACATCTCTAGTAAAAAAAAAGCATATCCTTTGAAATTTTCTAAAGGTGAACATATTATTGAGATTTGCACCTATGGTAAATAATACCCTGAGAACACCACTTATATGATTCAACAAATAAATATGAGTTTTAATTGATGTTAAGAAAGAAAAGGATGAAATGGTCGACTCTAAAAAATTTAGGCACTAGTATGGTCTTCCTTTAGATCCTCGTGCCTGCAAGGCTCTGCACACCCTAATTGGCCTTACCTTATGTCTTTTTGGCTTCATACACTGTTAGAATTATTGGAATAATGAAATTTTGAGTGGGAACTTGGAAGAGTTTATTAACATTAAATTGACAATAAATGAGCACAAGTAAGAGCTAGTATTAATGGAAATGAATTTGAAAAGATTCGTTTTAGTCTCACATAGGAAGGACAACACATATTAGTAGTGCTTATATATTCCAAGTGGAAAATTGGGTTGAGCCCCAAGAGGCATCCAAATTTGTGAAGGAGTGAGGACACACCGCCAAGCCACCATCACAAACATGCACGCGCCGCCATCGTTTGTCCGACCAGTCGGCTTAGCTCGGCTCGATCCGGACTTGGATCTTGGTTGTTTAATTTTTGGAATCTGAATTGGTGGAGTATTAATTAAATAAATTTAATTAATTAATCTAAAATTGTAAAATATTAATATTAATTAATTAATATAATACGATGGTGACATGTCTTATGCAGAAACTCAGTCTTAACCTAGTTTTGACTGGGTTTACTTGCCTTCCAAGAGTCAACGAATGAGTTCCTGACTAAGTGAATAACAAATACTTTTGATTGGGGCAATTCCACTCTCCCACGATTTCCTCCATGATTTTTTCTCCATTCGGGTTGGATCCTCAACTATAAATATCGCCATTCTCATTATTTTCAATTCACACCAGATTTCACAATTTGAAACCTCTCTGTTCCGTCCCATATTCACTTCATCTATATTTTTATTTTACGTTTTTCGGGTGGCTTGTTTACGCTATTTGCAACTGGTTTATCCAGATATTACAAGTGGTTTCTGCACCATCATCGAGTGGACCAACACCATCATAAGGTGTATTTCTGGTAAAATCACATATTGTTCAAGTAGTGATCGTATAATTGAATTGGGCTATTTTATCTTAGAGGCGGCGTGGTAGTTCGACTGCTTTTCATATTTTTAGACAGTGTCGTAAAACGTCTTAAAGAGAGTGAACTATTTCGTTACTCATCCCAGTAACTTCTTTTGTGGCTAATTTTTAAAACTACAAACCAAGAATTTTAAGACATTTTCAAAAATTGTCATGGCTACCGAAGAAGTTATTGGTAACACTTCGGCCACTGTCTCTGACAAACCGTTCAAGTTTGAGGGTTTTCACTTCAAACGTTGGAAAGCTAAAATGAAATATTTTTTCTAACCTTAAAGAAAATTGCCAACATTCTAACTGAGGATATTCTTGTTGCTCCATTTGGATCAACCGAATAAACTAATGGTAATAACTTTGTGGATTGATATGGAATTGCTAGAACTAATGAATCTGTTGCGAATAATGTACAACTCAAGAAAGAAATCTCCATATGGCTTGAGAATGACTATCTTTATAAAAATCACATTCTGAATGATCTTGCTGATGATCTATATAATTATTACAGCAAATGCAAGACTGATACACAGTTATGGAAAGCTCTGCAAAAGAAGAATGACACCGAGGAAGTTGGAATAAAGAAGTATGATGTAAGCTGCTACTTAAGGTATAGGTAGTTGATGAAAGGTCTGTGGATGCACAATGCCACGAACTTCAAAAATTTGCTCATGAAATATTTACAAAAGGTATGCCCCTCAACGAACAAATTCAAAGTGCGTATAAGCAATTGGATGTTATGAAATTAAAGGGAATTGATCATGAAATTAATGTATTCTATTACAATTATGTATAACTTTAGATGCTCAAAAAAATTATCATTTCTTCATCTCTAAAGTTTCTAAAAATTAATGCAACAAAACATTTCATGTTAGACCATTTGCAAAGCAAAAGTTCAATTTTCAAACTAGTGTAACCGATTACAGAGTACATGTAACCAGTACAGGTCCATTCTATTTGGTATTTTTTTTAAACTGACAAGGTGTTAAACGGTTACACAAATCTTGTAACCGGTTACAAGTTGGTTTTTGTTTGAAAATATGAAACGTTACCAAAGGTGGTATTTGGTTACACGCTACATAAATGTGACTTTTCATGAACCATGCTCATTGTAAATATTCATAGAAATGCTACATACTTATGTGTCTTATAGGTTTTTAAGGGTGTACTTAAGGCAAGATACATCAGTTTTACAAATGACCTCTTTCATACAAATTTTACATGCAATTCAAATCATTTTTAAGTTTTCATTCATCAAAATCTTTGAAACTTTTATACACGACTTTCATATCATTGCAAAGTTTCATTATAAATTCTGAGCACTTAATTTTTATATTTTTTTATTGTAATATTGATAAAGGGAAGATCTATCATCTTGGAATCAGTTTAAAAAACAACTTTATTCATTTCTATACAAAGTGTGTATTATTTTTCATCATATTGTGTTGGTGAAACGTGTTTGTAAATAGAAAGTGGTGTACGTTCTGATTTTGTGAGGATCGCCTTAGTGTTTGAGGATTGTTAAAGAATCTTACTTAAATTAGGATGATTCAAAGTCCACCATAGGTTTGGTGTTTTTTATTTCAAAAAGAAAGTTGTGTTCTTTCTTTTTATTTGTATTAGAAGGTTGTAAAGAATTCTTGGTGTGAAAGTTGTACAAGGATCTAAGTATAGTGGAAAATCCTTCAAGGTGTGAAGGGACTAGATATACTCTTGTTTGATAAGGGGAACTAGTATAATTCCTTGTATTTTTTTATTTTTCAGCACTTTAATTTTTTGCATTTTATCATCCTAAGAACATATCATATTCGTAAATTCTAGAAAAATATCAAGTTAAGAATTGTTGTGCAAAATTCATGAAAATTAGGCAACCTTAATTTAACCCCCTCTCTCTTACGTTGCATCTCATACTTACAAGTCGTAGACTATGGAAAGAGTAGTGAAGATATTGTTGAATCAGATTCGTCATATGCTTTCTCAAATAGCAGTTACGATGAAACATATAAAATTACTTGTGTAACTGCACCATTTTATCAAGAACATACTTAAAGATCGACAAATTTTGAATTAGAGGATCCTAGTTCTTTTAGTTTTGGCCTTGAAAATGTTATTCAGAATTAATGCGCAAAAGCTCTAGTGATGGTCACATTGTGACTTATGTTCTTGATAAGAGGAATTGTTATCCCTTTTTTTTCTCTTTTTCAAATTTCTCTTCCTTATCCCTCTTTGGACAAGTAGAATATGGACTTTTCTTTTGTGGCATGTAAAAAAAATAAAGAACATGAATTAAAATCCATAATATTTTGTTTCAATTTCAATTTCAACTTTTTTGGAGTTAATAATGCTAAGTGATTTTGAAATGGTGGTGGTTGTGGTTGGTATAAAATCTCACCTTTCTTAAGAAGATGAACAGTTATGCATAAAATCAACTAACTTAAAAAACATATTTTAGTGACCGATTTTTGTGTCGCTACGTGGACCATTAAAGTTCAATGATACACATATGATGCAATGCTAACAAAATTTGACATTATTACTAGCATTTGGATGGAATTGACGGATATGATATCTTTTGAAAAGTTAAGTAGAAATAGCAAAATGAGCTGATATACTTGCTCATTTTGGTTGTACTTTTTGCAGGGTTGGTCAAAGTTTTCGGCTCGTGGCCTAAACAATGTCCGCCATACTCCATTTTTTTGTAAACTTTAATGAGTCAGGTCTAAACAAGACGGATATGTCTATTTGTCACTCCTCAAATTAAGAAATTTAAACAATCGTGTTCAAAGATAAGAGAATAAAATGAATTTCAAATATAAAATATATGACAAAAAGGAATATTAAATTAAATTTAAGTTATATTTATTGTCGTTATAAAATCAATCTCTTTAGCATTAGGATGACACATAAACTATGGTGGATAACTCTTCAAAATAACTGAAATTTTTTCCCACTCATTTATTGTTTTGTTTTGTTTTATATCTATTTAACTCAATTACAATATATTAGACTCCACCTCACTAATTTGTTGTTGATTTCAATGCATCTTATAATTGTTAAGTCAAATATCAATGATGAATTACGACTAGTTACTAAATTTGTCATTGGTATTTTTACTCTATAAACTTGTCACATCTAATAACACTTTTCTTGCATTTCAAGAATAATGAAGCCATGAGCAAAGAAAACTAAGTTGAGGAAATCACCAACTTCCTTGATGTTTTCATTTCCCATTTCACATGATTATTAATACAGAAAACACAATCAAACAATGTCCATCTCAGACTTACACATAAAAGCACTTATTCAACAACAAAACAAAAACATAAAATCAACATAAGATAAACACAAATCCACCCATCACAAGCCCTTACTGGCTAGGTAGAAAATCCTTTCTTCAAGTTTTGAATGGTGGAAACATCAGTCTTAAAAGCCAAAGCCAAGACATTATCACTAATAGAAGTATTAAACAACGTATTAGGAAGTGAAATAGTGCCAGCATTAGCACTACCAAAGGCTGATATAGCAACAGCAGGAGCCTTATCATCGGCATTATATTGGAAATGGACAAGACCCTTCGGAAACACGAACAAATCACCGGTTGAAAGAGTTTGCGTGAAGAGTTTATTAGTTGTGTCGACGAATCCAACTTGAAGTGAACCTTGAACAAGAAAGAGTAGTTCAGCTGAACGTGGGTGGATGTGTGGTGGATTAGTGCTTTTAGGTTGGAATTGAAGAGAAGCATAGGACACACTTTGTCCATTCAATGATGGAAATTCTATCATGGTTGCTTTTAGTACTTTGAAAGGTGGTGGGCTTGGGTTTTGTGGTCCGACGAGAACGCGGAAGCCCGTGTAGGTGAAGAAGTTCGCGTCAATTGGGCCGGTTATCGGGCTTATGAAGTCGGTTAGTATGTCCGGGTCGCCGGCCCTTGTTATGGTCACAAGGGTAAATGTGTAAATGAAGAGTGAGAGAACAACTTTCAAGGTGGGGAAAGACATGTTTTTTATGTTGAATTATAATGTTGAAGAAGTTTAAGAATGTGGTTGGGTTTGAGGAATGTTACGTGTGTGTATTTATAGGAATGTTATGTAATTGTATAAGTTTGTATTGTTATGATGCATCTCATGCAGGCCTTTAGGATCGACGAGAACACCAATGGAATTTTACAAGAAAATGTTGAATGTAGTTTGCAGCTGTTTGATTGTGTCATTTAGCAATGAAATCACACCAATGGAAATTAGCCATTAGAAATTATTTTGTTTTTTTAGCTATTGGTTTTATTAATGATTATAGAAATAATGCTTTATTTTATTTCATACATGTTTTGTTATCGAGGACTGTAATACAGGTTTCAATAAAAAAAAAATAGGATAGTCATTTGGAACCTTACGCCCAAAGTGAGAAAGGAATTTATACTATGTTTTAAAGTGAGAAAGGAATTTATACATATTATTCAAACTAGTTTAAAAATCAAATTTTAAGGGACTTTCGCTCTCCTATTTTAATTTTTAAATATTTTAGTTCTGCATTTTAATCTCTAATTTTTGTTTCTCCTATTTTAATTCCAGAATTTAAAAAAAAATTAATTTTTTTTTAAATTTTTCATTAAAAAATTTAATTTTTTTTACGAAAAAAGAATTTTCTGAATAAAAATTTTTTTAATTTTTTTAATTAATCAAAAATAAATTCAGAATTTATTTTTTTTTTCCAAAAAAAATTGTAGAATAAAGAAAAAAATTTAAAACTTTTTTTATTTTTCGAAAAAGAATTCAGAATTAAAAAAAAAATTTAAAATTATTTTTCAAAGAAAAATTGCAGAATAAAATATAAAATACTGTTTTTTTTTTAATATTAATTATTTTTATTTTTCGAAAAATAACTTTTTTATTTTTTTATTTTTCAAAAAAATTTCAGAATAAAAAAAAATAAATTTCCTTTTTATTTTTAAAAAAAAGTTCAAGATAAAAAATAAATTTTAAAATTTTTTTTAAACTTTGAGAAATTTTTTTTTAATTATTTCCAATTATTTTTCACTCTCAATAGTTTTTCTTCTTTTTTTATGAAAAACTTATTTATATAATTAAAAAAATAATTTTGAATCAGTTTTAAACCAAATTAGAATTATTTGAATTAAATGGTAATGCAATGAAATTGTTGGATAAGATGGCCTTAGACTCTAACCGTCTAAATAACAAACTATAGTTATTAATTAAATTCATGTTGATTTAGCTTTAAAAAAATATTTTTTTATTTTATTTTTATAAATGATTTTTGAAAATGTCTTTTAAAATATTATAAATTTTTTAAAATTCGTTTTTCTGAAAAATTAATTTTAACATTCTATAAAATAAATAATTAAAATATGATCCGAAGTTATCAGAATAGATCGTCTTGACCTTCAATGTAGGGCAGCAACAGTGGTTGTAGGAGATGGGGGGTTGTATCTGCAAGGTACTCCAAAGTCAAAGTAAGTGTTTGGGCTAAAGAGAAAAAGTAAGTACGAGTGTTTAGGTATGAGCAAGAAAGATTAGAATATCTGACCTTCTTAAAAGAAATGGTATTTATAAGTTTTTCCCCCAACGCGGGGTCAAGGTCTCCCATGTAACTGAAATATTTGGTTGGCCAATGGGAGACTGTCAGGTGGAAGATCTAGCGCGTGATCTTTGACCTGCTCCAACTATCTCTGTGACTTTCGAAGGGGCAGTTGGTCGCATGAACTGTCAAGCGCGTGAGGGGGCACGTCCCAAACGGCTATATTATGCCCTATGGTCGTATTGGGTCTGGCCTTAAGCTAGACTGGATTGGACTTTGCCCAGCTGTGGGGCAGGTGTCAGTCTAGTCTAGAACAGAAGTCCCCCAAGTCGTTGCTTCGAGGCGAGGAGTAATGACTTGACTTAGCATAGCTTGTGCGACCAAGGGGCGGGAACCGCATTGCGGGGAGGTCTTTGAGATTGTTATTTATTTAGCAAAAAACTTCGGGAACGTGCAGGTGCGTAACATTGATATGGTCGATTGTGGGTCGCGCGAGACCTCCTTGGAGATGAGAAGTGTGTTTTGTGTCGATCAGACTTGTTCTTAGGATGAAGAAAATGTCGACGAGGCTCTTGCTCGCATATTGATCTGGTGACTTCGTCGGGGAGAATGTGCTCGCAGGAAGCTGAAGAGACTTGTCTTTTCACAAACAGGTGAGGGGTCAGTTTGAGGATGCCAAGTGGCAGCCACTCTGTGCCACGTGTGATGGCGCAATAAATTTTGTTTAAGGCCTAGGAGGCTAGGCAATGATGGTGTTTTGCCCTTTCCGCTTCCCCATGCGAGCAAGGGAGCCTATATAAGGGGGGGCCGAAATTTCATTTTACACTTTACGAAAATTTCTCTCCTCCTTATCTTTCGCTCTGCAACACGTTCGTCGCCGGAGATCTCGTCGCCCCCACTGCTGCTCCTGCCATCCCAAGATCTTCATCCTCAACCTTTGAATATTCAAGTAAGTTCTTCAACTTGTATGAATTTCTGCAAATTGTTCTTGAATTCGTCGGTGGTTCATGAATTTTCCGGTTGAAGTTCATGTGTTACTTGAAGAACACATAAACTTTTATGGGAAATTCATGAAGGCTTTGTAGAAATTAAGATTAGGATGTTGTATGCCTATAGATCTTCCTAGGTAGTTGCGTGTGATTGTTTTATGTTTGTCATCGGGCAGGGGTGTCCTCATAGCTGAGGGTTTTGCTTTTAGATGCCTGACACGTTAGAGTAGTCGCGGGGCTTCTCCCATTTGGGGTCTTTATAAGTAGCAGGGACGTGTCCTCGGCGTCAGGGACGTGTCTCGCTGAGACCCCTTGTCGTTGATAAGGGCCTGAGTAGGGGAGACATTCTTGCATTTAATCCTTGCCCTTTCATTGGATTTGTGGTGGAAGGGTGGATTTGATCTTTGTCGAATTCACTGTTTCTTCCTTTGTTTTTCAGGTGAAATAGTTGGTCATGAAGAGGGAACCGTCCCCGAAATTGGGGCAAACATTAACAAAGACGTGCCTCCCGCTGAGTATGCCAATGTGCGGGTAGTTGAAGAGGATCTTAGTTGGATCGCCCAGGAGCCCCTTGTAACGAAGTCCATGTTTACCGATGAGGAGGCCAGTAACTTCGATCTCCTCGAAGATAGGGTTGAAGACGCGCCTATAAGTTGGAGGGAAATTAGCCCAACAGAGAACGACCGAATATGCTCGGTGTACCTGGGGAGGAGATTTCCCATGTATGAATTCTCCTTTAGGGAAGCAGGGTATCGTTTGCCCTTTACGGATTTCCAGGGGGCAATATTTTTCCACCTCGAACTGTGTCCTGCCCAGCTCGACCTGATTGCTCTAGCATTCATTCGAGTATTCAAATTGGTGTGTCGTTACCTTCGGATATGGGCTACCGTGGAACCCTTCTTTTGCATCTTCTAGCTGCAGAGGAGCACTTCGAAATTGAAGTAGAGTTGGGTGTCTTACAAGCAGCAGAGCAGGCTATTCTGGCCTTACTCAGAGTCTGTCCCAAACTTCAAATTTAGATTTCTGGTCATAAAGCCCTTTTCCGAAGCAGCCAAGAGCTCCCTGGTCACGATAGAGACGCTAAAGTAAGATGGTCAGGAAGTGGTGCGTCTCGTGTCAAAGTTTCCCTTAGAATGGGTGTACGCCCATTTCCGATATAGGACATACTAGTTCCTTGTGAAGCACGACCAGCTTTGCTCCGAGGACAAGAAGTCTTTTCGAGCGCTGACAATGTTCGTCGAGAGCTTTACCCCTGTTGTTGTGGTGGATAAGGATGGCAATATACTCTCCTCTGAAGATGGGGAGCCTGCTTGGGCGGCTCGTTACATAAATACTAAAGCTCTTCTTGATTGTCGGACTGAGGTTGAGGCTTTCAAGCTTCTAGGTATAGATGACGTGCTCGACTTGTTTCTTAGTGTTTTAATTTCGTATGACCTATTGTTTCTTCTTTGCAGGAAAGATGTCGAATTTACGTGAACACTTGGTCAAGTCAGCCGCAGCTAAAAATGTCATAAAGGTTTCGACCTCGAGGGCGGATGCGGTCAGGCAGCAGGTGACCCTGGAGAAGTTCGTTGGTCCTTCGCCATCGTCGGGCAGCACCTCTAACCCTCTTACCCCGGATCCTCAGAAGAAGAGGAAGCGAGACGACCTTGGCTCGTCTTCGGCCGAAGGCTCCGGTTTTATTGGGGGGAAATTCACCCTGCCTTTCTGCTTTTTGCAAGACAAGAATTTTGACGAGGAGGGGGTATGTGCAGGTCTCCGACCTGGAGGCGTCGGTCATCTTAACTGCTGATCTGAAGGTGAGGAGGTCGCTCCTTTATCGCGATGCTGCTGCGATGATGAGAGTTTTGGAGACGGATCTGGCCTTTGGAGACGCGGAGACCGTTCCGCTCAAAGAGTTGAAAAAAGCACAGGCCAGAGAGGCTGAACTTGAGTTGGATACGGCAAATATATTCAACCAGTTACAGACCCTTAAAGGCAACTACAAGGCCAAGGTCGCACTCCTCAAGGACATGAATGAGATGTCCGAAGAAATGAAGAAGATCAAGGAGGAGAACACCAATTTGAAGAGTAGGGTCACTGAGCTGGAGAGCTCCTCGGCTTTGGGGACAGACAAAACTGAAGAGGATAAGTCTTTGAAGACTCGACGGGACATGGTCGAGAGAATACGTATTCTCGAGCAGAACGCCCTTGGAGTTGCTGAATTTGGGTTTTCTACCGTTATGGAGAAGGTGAAGGCCCTAAATCCCGACCCTCAGCTGGTCACCGAAGGCATGGGTGTTCTGCATCAGATGGTCGACGGGAAGGTGGTCTCACCAGAAATCCCCGCTGATGATGAATGATTATTATGACTTAATGTGTTTCGGCCTGCGTGCCAATTTTTTGTACTTTTGATCGTCGGGCTATGCCCGACATTTATGTAATATTTAAACACTTTTCCGGCCTGAGGTCGAGTATATTTATGGATGTTTATTTTG